CCAGCATTTGTTGCTTGCTGTTCTGTTAAATTTTGCTATTTTGACTGGGGTGAAATGATGTTGAGCTTCAACCCATATTGAAGGTTGCAGTCCTTGACCTTCTGCAGCAAATGCCTCTGGTCTTCCTCAGTTTCGTACAAATGTGTAAAAACATCTCTGTCATTTTGTTTCCTACTTATATCAACCATATAAAAGTTTTCCCATTTGAATTAAAGCCTAACGTACAACTATATAAAAGTTTTCCCATTTGAATTAAAGCTCAACGTAGATTAATTTGCACAGCTGAGCGATACACACCGTAGAGATACAGCATGGATTGCTTACCCATTCTTCTCTATCTGCTTGACACTTAAGAGAGTAACAGTCTTTTCTTATTAAGAATAATGTCATGGCTATCCCTCCACATGGACCTGTGTTTGTGCTTACGATTCTTTACTTTGGTTGAATGTCTAGAAACAAAATTGTTGTGTAAACAGGTGTGAATATGCTAAAGTTCTTTTCTGTTTTCCTGTTATCGTAGTGAAAAAGATCTACGTACAATTCACCATTTAAACTCTTTTAAGTGCTCAGTTGGGAGCACCCAGAGGCTCATTCTGATGACTTTCTTGCTGGGTCTCGGCTGTTGATCTTCTCCGGTTCCTTTCTTCCTCAGATCCCTTACATCCCCTGGTAGTCATCATCTGGGATTGACAACTGCTCTTCTCTGAATAGCCCAGCAGGAGGAGCCTTTCATTTGGTGAAGAAATGCTCCCAATTCCCCAGCAAGCATTGTGATCTGGTGCCACTTTCCGGTCCTTCAGAGTTGGGGGTAACACTACTGAGCATTTTTGTGCAAGTCTAAACCGAATCCAGGACAGACCTCCCACCCCCAGCCCTCCTGGACCCAGGTTCCTTCCTGGAAATTATGAGCATCTGGACATGTTTATGGCATCATTGTCTTTTTCCTTCTCACCTTCTAGGTTTTGGGACCTTGTCATAGATGCCAAATGATTTGCATCGACCAGCAAACGGGGCAACGAAGCCAAGATGTTTTCCAGAAACTTTCTGAGAGTCGAAAGAGAAAGGTGAGCATGATGGCGAAAGCTCATACTTTGTCTTAAGGTCCTGATGTGTTAAGTGCACCATCAGAGTGCCGAATCATTCTGAGGAATGCGGGGATTTGAGGTGCCTTCTGGAGTAAGGTGATGGCCTCTTGTCCATGGTTCATTCTATTTTCTTTCCATCCACTTGCTCACTTGTTTGTTTGTTTGCTGTATTTATGTTTTCTTTTTTTTAAAAAAAAACATTTTCTTATAATAAAACATAACAAAAAAAGCCACTTAAACCATTTTTATACATTTCAGTGACATTAATGATATTCACTATGTTATGTAGCCATCACTACTGTTTCCAAATGTCTTTCATCCTTATAAACTGCATTATATGCATTTTTTTATACTCTCAACTCTTGTTAAAGAGACATGGAGTTTAAGTAATAGATAAGTCAAGCAGTTCCATTGTCTTAATCATTGTTTTCTTCACTAGAAGATCTCATGAAATGTGTCTTACGGTGAATAGAGTACCTGCATAGAAATATTCTTACATAAATTTCATTAAACTAAACCTGTGAGTCATCTTTTTAAGAGTTAAATCATCTCATTGCTGTTGTTATGGATTTATAGGTTATAAAAGCTGCATTTTAAAAAGATGCAGATTCTTTATGTAGTCGTAATTTATTTGCTAAATTAGAAGAAATGTGGAGTCTGCAGTGGCCCAGATGTGTGATTTGCTATATAACACGATTTCCAACACCGATAGTCCCTCCTTGGTTCCCTCATTCCTCTGTGTCCCTTGCGTTCATTGGTTCTCTGGAAGGTCTCCCAGAGACTCAGATTCATCAGGGGAGGGACTCCTGTGACTGTAGGTATGCAGGCTGGTTTTGCAGAGACTGGTGAGTGCTGTAGACTATTAGTTGCAGTACAACTGGAAAGCGGGCATCCCCAAAAGAGAGCTAGCAGTTAGCTCTTAAAAACCTCTAGTGGCGTGGGGCTTGCATTCCACCCTAATCCTATCTCCTTAGCACAAAAAAATAGCACAAAATAAACAGTTCAGTAATGGCTAGGAAAGAGATTTTGAACAAGAAACCCTTAGCACCCGACTTTAGAAGGATTTCTTTTCAGACTCACATTTTCCGCCAGGGCTTTTTGCTTGCAAACCAAATGCCTTAGCTAGTGCTGCCATACAAGAAAACATTCTCAGTGGATGTTATGTGCCATCAATAGACTACACTGTACTCAGCCAAACAAACAAGACAGTAATTGATTTTCTCAAATCAGGGTTCTTGGTGGTGTTTATTCTTCCTGTGAGACGATCACAACGCTGCAATAAAGTCAGGTCAATTAGGAAAACAGAATCCTTAGAGCCAAAGAGAAACCTGTGAGCAAGTATTCACAAACTCGTCTCATTGCCACTGAGTTGGGACCAACACTTAGCTGAGTGGGTTTTCAGAGGCAGTAAATCACATCAGAGGCAATTGTACATCTTCCTTTTTACAGAGCAGCTGGTGAATTTGAACCTCATGCCTTTGGGCTGGCAGCATAACTCCTTACCTACTTTGCCACCAAAGTTCTGTAGAGAGCATGTCTAGAGCAATCCTTATCATAAATTCTCTGTTTATAACTGAAAATCAGCTGTAGAAGCTGTTAGAAAGAGACAAGCCATACTAAATTTTAATACCTGTTACACTGCGGGGTACAGGCTATATGGGTGAACATTTATATTAGACTCAGAGTCCCAAGGTGATGCAAACAGTGAGACACTTAACTACTAGCTGAAAGGTTAGTGATTGCAACCCGCTTAGAAGTGCCTGGGGTGCGGGGGGAGGTTTGGCAGTCTGCTTCCAAAAGGTAAAAAGAATGTGTCCAGAAATAAAGAAATGCAGAGTGACTCCCAGAAAACCACCTGGAAATGAGACTTCGCAGGTATTTGATTTTAAATGAACATTGTTGCTCACAAAATTATTTCCCTTGCAGAAGTAATGTGTTTTATTGCTGACTTTTTTTGTTCCCAGGTGAACTTTGGGGTGTACCTGATGCATATGCCTTTGGATTTATCTTCTCCACGCTTCCTGTCTGTAGGATCTCAGGTGCTCCCCGTGTTGAAAGGAAGTGAAGACTGTCACCATTTACTGGTTCCTGAGAAATGAGAGGACTTTATCTCCTAAGAAATGTTTTGTGCATGTATTGATATGTCTCTTTTACAGGTATACCTGCTGTTATTAAATCTGTAATTTGGTCCAGTAAACCTGCTCTTTTGAACAAGGACTGTCTTTTTCCTTTGGGAGGTAAAGAAAGACTCTCACCTGCTTCCTGTTCAATCAATTCTGATTCATAGTGTCCTTCCACTGGTTTTGGAAGTTGTAAATTTTAAGCTGCAGATCTTAATGGGAGGATACACACATCCAAAAGCAGGGGTAGAAAATAGTTTTATAAAGCTCTAAGTATACTGTTTCTTAGTAAAGTCAGTACAAGTACATAGATACAAATAAAAGAAAATCATCAAGGGAGGAGACTATCTTTTTTCATGGAGCCCGTGGTGGATTTGAACTACAGGAACACTCAACCTTTCGATTAGCGGTGACTATGCTACAGCATGAGGTCGTCACTTTGGCCTTTGGCTGCCTCCTGATGTTACTTGCTCGTTGAGTTTTGTTCCGCATTTCCCCTGACTCTATCCAGGATTTTCTGCTGTATTCTCTTTTAAAGAGGTCAGTGGGGCACCATTTAGTTCTGCTCTCAGGGTTGCGGAAGTTGAATCCAACTGGTTCATTGACTTTTGGACTAATTATGTCAATACATCTTTGCTTTTTTTCCTTCCTTCTTTATTCTGGAGAGGAAGAGACCGATAGTTATAGCTAACTGTTTAATGGCTACTTGTAAGCTTTTATGATCTCTTTTGCTACTCACCAAAGTAGGACCTAGAACCTTGGCTTCGTGGACTGTGTTATGCCGATTGACCTTGATTGTTCCCCAAGAATGCGGTCCCAAGAGTCTAGAACTATCAACTCCTTCTGTCAGGATGTTGGGTTATGATTAAGAAGTATTGCTGCTGTTGGCCCTGCCAGGTATATGGATGTATTTATAGCACATACTTATATGAGAGGATAAACATATATATGGATGTACTTATAGCACATACTAATATGCATAAGGATGATAGAAGAATTGATGCCTTTGAACTACGGTGTTGGAGAAGAGCACTGAACATCCCATGGATGGCCAAAAGAACAAACAGATACGTCTTAGAGAGGGAGCAGCTGGAGTGCTCTTTGGAGGCAAGGATGATGAGGCTTCACCTCACATACTTTGGGCATGTTGCTAGGAGGCACTGACTATTCCTTGGAAAGGGACATGACACTGGGAAGGATAGAGGGTCGGCGAAGGAGAGGAAAACCCTTGGCCAGGTGGACTGACAAGGTGACAGCTGCAATGGGCTCTAGTGTGTCAGGAAGTGGGATGATGGCACAGGATAGAACAGGGTTCAGATCTTTTGTTCATAGGGTCGCTATGAGTCTAACTTGACTCAATAGCACTTAACAACAACAACAACATGAATGTAGAAATATCAGCTGCCAAAACTATGTATGGACCCATATGTAGTGTTTTTTCACTTATGTCCATTTATTCCTCTTTACTGTCTTCATATGTATCTACTGTTGAGTGTATTTCTTGTGTATCTCTTTATGTCTTTTCCTTTTTTTGGTGGTTTCATACTGCTCATCCCTTTATTGTATATTGCCTTTAATTTCACATGTATTAGTAGGTGTCTACTTTCTATTTAGGGAGCTCTGGTGGTAACCTAATGTTAAGAAGCTGTGCTGCAATCTCAGAGGTATGCACTTCAAATCCACCAGCTGCTCCACTGGAGAAACGTGAGCAGTCTCCTCCAGTGTGATTAATTTACTCTGAAAACCTGCTATTACAGGGTCAGCTGTGGGTTGGTTCCAACTCGACAAAACACAACAACAACAACAATACTAATTTTCTATTTACTAATTTTATTCCCATCTTCCTCTCTTTGTATCACTGGCAACCATCTAAGAATGACTGTCTTATTTCCAAGTCTAAAACAGTTCACTTTATCTAGACTTTTGCTCCACTGGGAAGTTCTGTAATGACACTGCTTGTTTGTGATGTCTTTTTACTTTGTGATTATCCGCCTCAGTGGACCGATACTTCTGATTTCCTATTTCTAGTATCGTTAGTTTATTTTCCTTTATGTATTTTTGAGGTCTGAATTGGCTTCTAAGTGATGTGGTTATGTGTATTAATTTCAGGTTGTTGTCTGTTGGTTTTGGTTTTCTGTCTAAAGAACCTCCTTTAGCATTTCTTGTGAGATGGGTCTAGTTTGCACAAATTTCTTCATTTCTGTTTATCTGGAAATTTCCTAATCTTGCCATCATCTTTGAGGGACAATGGTACTTTTTTTATTGACTTTCCCCCCTCCCTTTAGAGTTTTGTACATGTCATTCCATTGCCTTCTTGCCTGCATGGTTTCTCTGCTGGGAAATTGGAGATTAATCTTATTGGTTCTCTATGTGGAAGAACTTTGTTTTTTCTAGAGCTGCTTTCCATACTCTTTCATTCTCTTTGGTTTTTTTTTTAAATTTATTAATGATATGTCTTGGTGTTTTTCTGTTGGAATCTATCTTGTTTGGAGTTGCTCAACTTTCCCAACGCACATTTCTCTACTTTTCATAGTATTTTGGCCTTTTCCCCCCCAGCAGATGTTCAGCGATTTCCTCTGTGTTTTTAATTTTCCTGTCTTTTCTGAAATCTTCGTCACACATACGCTATTCCTCGTGATGATGTCTCATATAATTCTTATGACTTTCTTCCCTTTTCTTCCTTTTTTTCCAGTTTTTCTTCTAACAGATTAATACTGAGGGATTTATCTCCTTTCTTACAGTTCTGTGTTTCCTTGCTTCACTTCTTTTGTCCTTCCGACATGTTACCTATTTCTGAATTTAATTTGCTATGTTTGTATGACTTTTAATTTTCCATTTATCTATTTGCTTGTGCTATTTTTGTTCGTTGAAAAATTCTTCTAAAATGTTGTCTGTGTTTTCCCTGATTTTGTTTATGGTTTCCTTACATTTTTTTCTGAAAGCACTCAATCTCCATTCTTTTGAATTAGGATTAATTGATTAGGAAGCTTCAGTAGCATTTCTTCCTCTGAAAGATTTTCAGGTTCTGTCTTTTGGTTGCTTGTTTGTGCTGTTTTTTCCTGGGGATGTTTTTCTTTTGTTTTGGGTGGGGCTATGTATGGTTTGAAGTTGTCTTTTGCCTCTAAGATATTGCAATGTTGCTTTCTTTGTATTGTTTTGTTTTGATATATCTGATTGAGCTGTTTAAATATGTTAAGGAGCTTTCTAGTTTGGCAGTTCTTAGTATTTCACCTCCTTTCTTCTAGTAAATGTGATAGGATCAAAGTATATGTGTAGTCCACTGATCATGTAAAGCAGGTGGGGATAGTTTGAGCTGGTGCTGGCCACAGTCTGTTAGTGATCATGTGGAAGAGGAGCCAGTCTTTACTCCTGCGTAGTGGGTGAGGCTGTTGGAGGTAGGGGGGTGTGTGAGTGCGAGCCTGGTAGGGGTGTGTGTGTGCGAGCCTGGGCTGCTTGAAAAAGAGAAAAAAAAAGAAGACAAAAGTAGACAGTAAAAGAAAATCCCAAATTGAAATGGCTAAAAGGAACGAGGATCAGAATAGAAAGGTGGTTGTTGTTATGTGCTATCTAGTCACCTGCAACTCATAGCGACCTTATGTACAACAGCCCTAAACCCTTCTCTATCCTGTGCCAATCTTATTGTCTCTGACACACCTACCCCCAAAGCAAGCAGAAGATAATGAAAAACAAAAACAAAACCTCACAAAGAAACTGAAAACACCTGAAAAGGCTGGGAAAGAAAAGAAAAACTAGAGCGTGAAAAAGGGAGCCTGGGGGACATGAGCTGACATGACTGTGGCAGGTGGAAAGATGTCTGGTCCAGAACCATGTTTCTGACCATCCTGTGGAAGGTTGAGGTTGAAGTGCTCAGTTAAGGTTGAACCTTTATTCAAGGATATTTATCATCAAAACACCACGTGCAATAGGAAGACAAAACAGTAAAAAATTCAGTTATGATTGCTCTCTCACCTGTGAAAAGAAACAGACCAATATAGTGAGTGGGAAGTGGGGTGGTTAGTGGTGGGTGTTCCGTAGTCCAAGGGGGAATAGGTTGATCTCTCTGCAGGGCTCCATCTCCTCCCAGGAGCTGGGGGTGGGGTGGGGGGATTCTGTGCATAAATCACTCTCTCCCCTGTAAAAGGAAACACACCAATATGTTCATGTGCACTTTAGGTGTTATTTAAAATGTCAGGAAAGATGTCCTTTGGTGAGATGTTCACAAAAGAATCACAAGAACATTTGAACATTCCCAGATATCAGTTGCTGATACTGTAGTTGACCTCAAGGCTGAACCAGATAGCCTGCATTCTGGGCCACGCAGGCTCCAGCTCATTTGGAACCTGTCTCTTCAAACGTACCATACATGGCCTTCTTGATGTTAGACAGAATATACGGCAGGTAGGAAACCCGCTGGTCACTGTTATAAACATTCCATGTGGGTAGTAGATGCATGGGGATAGGCTCAGTACCTGAAGGAAGGTGATGCAGGTCTGGGCAAAGGAGCAGAAGAGAAGACAATCACAGCATGAGGCAAACAAATGATGTAAAACGTCGTCTCTGTATAAATGAAAACTGATGTGGCAAGAAGGGCTAGAGACACTGTGTAACTGCTAAGAGTCGAAGAGGAAAGTTACCCATAAACCAGTTTCTGCTGAGTTGAACCCAAATCCTGGTGGCCCCATGCACATTAGAGAAGAACTGAGCTCCATAGTTCTCAATGACTGGTTTTTTAGAAGTAATTTGTCAAATCATTCTTCTCATAGGTTGTCTTTTTCTTATTGGGATGTTGGAGTTTTCTGTACACTTTAGAAATGAATTCTTGTTAGACACGTCATTTCCAAAACGTCACGAAAGCATACATAATTTTTTTTAATTAAAATTATTTACATTAAAAATTGTTTGTTTACAAATCACTTGTGTGTGAAGTCTATTATTCCTTCTCCTAAGTAGCTTTTCAGTCATATTTAATATTGATAGGT